CGTCAAACTAAATAGGCGCTTTTTTCAAGTTAATTTTAATTTATTTGGTTTTAGCCCTTTTTTACGACATTGTTTCCTAATTTTTCACTGTGTTTGAGTTTAAAATTATATTTCATAAGTGTGTAACGGACGTGACGTTAGCTGTCATGTCCTGCCGCCAGCCAAGCCGCCAAGCCATGTTAACACGCCCCCTTCCGCCACCGCCACCGCCGTCGCCCGCCAGCCAAAGCCAACGAAGGGGGGATAGTGTTAATAAAACAAGCCATGCCAGCCATTTCTGCATTCTTGCACAAATAAAAGAACTTGTCGTTACGCTGCTGGTTTTTATTGTCACATCATTTGCAACAATCAGAAGTGGCATAAAGAAATGAAACAACGTCATATACACGCCCAGATCTCTCGGCTTCTGACAAGTTGGAAAAAAAAGATGATGAAACTCCTAGTCCACCAGCGAGGAAGGTGTTGAAAAATTTGCTTCAGAAGGAGGTCCACAAGGCGATACTTGAGCTACAGAATGAAGAACCTGGAACAATCAAACCAAAGAAATATCGACGTCGTCGGACGAAGAGCGCCCGCCGCCCTGTCCTTCCATCATTCTGGTTCACGTGGACGGAAACTAAAAGAGCAACAACGTGGAGTAACCCACTGCGGCACTACGAGCTTCACAGCGCTTCACGAGATTCACGGCTACGAGCTTCCTTCTCCCTGCCTGCGACGCTGCTGCGCGGCGAAGACTGCTACATCAAAGTCATCAACATGGGCTCGGAGACCATCATGTAGCCGCCGGGCGAGGTCCTACCGAGGGCTAACAGCTGCGAGGAGCCACAGCCAAACAGCCAGGTGTGTTGCATTTCTACTTGCCCTAGCCGTGCCATTACAAATATTTCTGAGATTTGAGGGGTAGAACTAAATAAAATTAAAAGGGGCCATTAAATAAGGGTCATTCAGATTTTTTTAAAAGATATACATGTAATAATACAGTATAAGCATTACTTTGCTATGAATACACATGCTTTAGGTTTTTCCAATTTAGTCCAAATGAAAGTTAAGCTTACTAGTGACCAGCCCGTGTATCGGCCACCTTTACAGACTTTCTCATAATGAACAAACGATAGTTAAATCGAAACCTAATCAACTTTTAGATGCCGGCATTATAAAATAATCTGAATCTGGTTACGCTTCACCAGTGGTCTTATTAAGAAAAAGAACGGCGACTGTAGGCTATGCGTTGATTATCGTGCGTTAAACGCTATCGCGGTAACATATAAGCATCCACTACCAAACAGTACTTCACGAGTTTAGATTTTGCCCAGGGCTACCATCAATTAAGCATTGTGCCAGACACACAAAACTGCTTTCATTACACCGCAAAGTCATTATTACGAGTACACTAGAATTCCTTTTGGTTTAGCAAATGCGCCATCTGTATTCATGCGTTTCTTCTTTTGCTCCACCTTATTCCACTAGGTGGGGTAGTTAAATGCGTTTAATAAATAAAATAATTAAGTCTGTGGGTAGAAAAGAAATGGTTAAAAATAATGAAAGTAATGTAGGTCAAATCGAGATACTAGCAATTTTAAACGATTTACCTCTACCCTCAGTTGGTATAAAATCAGGTTCAAAAATTTTATGGTGGAGACTTAAAATTAAATATGAGTAAATGCTCATTCTTGGAGAAACAAGTCACTTATTTAGGTCATGAAATATCTTCAGACGGTATGCAGCTGGGTGCAACAAAAATTGACGGCCGTTTCGCAGTTTCCTGTGCCAAATAATGCTCATAGTGTGCGACACTCTATTGGTTATGTGTTACTTTAGAAAGTTTATTCCCAGTTTTGCCGTGATTGCGCGTCCATTAACATAGTTAAGAAAAAAAAAAAAAGAAAAATCATGGGTGTGGGGCCGTGAACATAACGCGAATTTCGAACAACTGTTTTATGCTAGCTCTGTATAATCCTATGCTTCTTACAGAAATACAAACCGATGCGTGTAACTTAGGAATTTCTGGTATACTATTACAAAAACAAACTGACGCGGCCTGTTATGTATTTTAGCCGGGTTACTAGGAAGGAAGAGAGTGTGTATCATAGTTAAGAGCTCAAAACCTGGCGGTCGTACAATCGCTTCGTAGGTTCCGTGTTTATGAAGTAGGTAAACATGATATAGTAGAAACTGATTGTACTGTGGTTTTTGCTACGCCTACCAAACGCGACATTATACCACGCATTGCGCGATGGTGAGTTTTGAAAGAAGATTATGACATTAGTGTTTAGTATAGACCTGGTGAACGTATGGAACATTTGTAGACGCGCTTAATAGGCAACCAGTTGACATGATGAACGTGAATCGTCTTGGAAGTTACTGATTCTGTACTGTTCAATGTCAGGACGAAAAGCTTAGTTCGATTATAAAGCAATCTATACTAACATTATAAAGCTGGAGTGTTTGTTTAAACGCGCTAATCTCAAGAACTGCTGGTCAGATTTGAAAAATTCTTTCAGTGTTAAATAACACATATTTATTGAGAAAGGTTATAGGCTATATAACGCTAAGACCGCTAAGACCATCACTGTGTCACGCTAAGACCAATACAAGCGAAGTACCAGTAAAGAAACGCGGGTTATTTTCCCTTTTGAGAGCTTCCGGTGCATGCGCTGCAGAAACTGTTAAAGTTTCGCTAAAATAATGTGACAGAATTGTCCTCCTTTAAAAGATCTAAAAAAAAAATGTCCGCGATAGCATATTCTATATGTTAAGGTTGCGCACTATAACGTTTTTTTTATGCAAACAAAATTTGTTCTAAAATAAAGCATTATTTTAGTCCAGGATCCACCGCCCATTTTTGCACTTGATTACTATCAAGCTAATTTTCCGTGAGTAGCTTTATTTTGATGAGACGCCCAATAATTTCCTATACGAAACTCTCGATTGTGGTAGCTAACAGAGGTAGCGAGGATAAAATATGTTGATTTGATGATTCTCAAATATTTATTACTAACTGAATTTTTTTTTGTTAAATCTCAAGACAATTATCTAAATTATTCGAAAAAATATTTGTCCTACAAAATNTTTAATTATTGAGATGGCCTAAGACTTTATTCTCATACAACATCAGTGTCAGTGTATCACAGTGTCGTGCAAGATAGAAGATACACCAACTGGCTTCAAGCACTTTTAGCAGCCGTGATTCGGACGACTCCATCCTCTCCAGGTACGGCGTTTTCCTTCACAATTTCCCTCGGGTTGTGTTCCTTTGTTTCTTCCCGCCACGACCCGAGAAAGTGTCATAGTTGAACAACGCAAATACAGTCCACACTCATTTTTGTATTAGGTGACCGTTACAATTTGGTCTACCAACCGCATAGCGCAACCAATACCTTTACGAAAACCTAAAGACAAGATTAAAATTACTTTCACATTGTGATGAAGTGTGCGCGGAACTATACTTGAGACCTTAGAACTTATATCTCAAAGGTGGGTGGCGCATTTACGTTGTGGATGTCTATGGGCTCCAGTAACCACTTAACACCAGGTGGGCTGTGAGCTCGTCCACCCATATATGAAATAAATAAAAAAAAAACGATGATTTGATACAAAAATTCTTTGCAAAATATACAGATTTCCGACAAGTTGGAGGTGTAAATTACGTATTAGCCTTTCCGGAATCCGAAACGGCTAAGTCACTTTATAAAATAGTTTTGGGCCTTCAGAGACGTTAACATTTTCATAAATTTTTTAAATATAATAACTAACTTTTGCCCGCGACTTCGTCCGCTTCCTTCGTAGTTCACTAATAATGCTTTATTTTAGAACAAATTTGGTCAGCATAAAAAACGGTATAGTGAACCCAAAATGAGCCAAATCGATCCAGCCGTTCTCGAGTTTTAGCGAGACTAACGAACACAATTCATTTTTATATATATAGAGGTATAATAAAACTGTTTACATGACTAGTGTACTCAGTTTTAACCCTTTGACTGCCTTGTACCACCGGATCCGAAACGCTACTTATCGAGAAGATCCGGCGAGAAACTCAGTGGGCTGTGTCTTTGGGTTAATGTTGCAAATGTAAATTATAATTTTGCGGGTTTGATTTTTATTACACGACTAGCCGAACTCGCCCGCTTCGCTGGGCATTTAAGATTAACATAATTATTTTATTTATTGTCATTATTATTAGGGAGTCCAACACTCATATAAATATTAGCCTATCCATTAAGCACATGTATTTTCTACATGGATACCAAGTTTCAAGTCAATCGGATGCATGGTTCAGTAGTTATAACGGAACATCCCTAAAAACCACTGTAGATTTATATAGACTAGAGGTCCCGCAGTAGTCGAAATTCGACTATAATTAATTGGAGTTGTAAGTTTGTACACTATTATGATTGTATTTTATAATTCTATAATTACAAATTTCGCCACTATAAAAATATTAACAAAGACAAACAATATTAAAATTTAATCTATTCTCAATTTGACAACAGACTCCAAGAACAAAAGTTTGACAATAAATAGTATGCATGCGTGTGTGCGTCAAATACATGGTATGTAGTGTGTGTAATGTTTTCTTTATTGATTTAATGTATCTTTTATGCATTATTTTAAAAAAATATTAGCATTGTGCACTTCTTCTCTATATTTTCTATAAGTGTGAAAAATTTCATACTCCTCCATCCGCTTAATTTTCGTAAAAAGGGATACAAAGTTTTTGCTTCACGTATTAATATATATATATATATATATATATGTTATTCCTTCACCGTGGAAGTGAATCGTGAACAATTGTTAAGTATTTCATTAGAAGAAGTCGCAACGCTTGACACGAATGCACCGGGCCTCATATCCTTTAGGCCACGACGACTTCAGGTCCGGTACTAATTTTTGTTAGGTGTAATCAAATAAACAGAGAGTAATTTGAAGACTAGCACTGTATATACGGGAGTGTTTGCTGCGGCCAGATTGACGTATCAACTGATTTTTTTTGTTTGTTCCAGAACGCTTTTGCGACGTGACCTTGTACTGTTCTCCGAATTTCGCGACCCAAGTGACTGGCAAGGACACGGTGGAGCCACAGAACATCCGAGGAGTCTCACTTCGAGCACACAGGTAACAACCGCGTCATAAAATCTAGCCAATATTGTAACTATTAATCTTAGACTTATGTTTTTGACGTGATAGGGTCTTATAAATCGACCAGCTGTACCCGTCCGCGTCGCTGGGCATTTAAAATTAACATTATTGTTTCTCACCCCCCACAAAGATTCTCATCATTAACGCCCCCGCAACTGGTGTAGGGAGTCCAACACTCATATAAATATAATAGCCTATCCATTAACTACATGTATTTTCTACATGGATACCAAGTTTCAAGTCAATCGGATGCATGGTTCAGTAGTTATAACGGAACATCCGTAAAAACCACTGTAGATTTATATATTAGTATAGAATAGATGAGCAACGGCTGCACGCACGAAAAAGTGTCACGTTCCACCTGAGCCAGAGCGTGCAAGCGAGAGCGCGGAACAAACGACAGAGAGGCACGATCGGCCCAAGTGTTCTTGTGACACATTTATCTCTCTTCTCCCGTGACATCAGAGCTAGCAGTTCCAATAGTTCTGCTCACCCATAAACCGACTTTACAGATAATCAATTACTTTTTTGTTTTATTGCAATGCTTTTATCGTCACTGATTTCAATTGCCGTATTTAATTGAAATATAGCGCCCATATCAAGGACCTATGAATATGGTGTATCTCTTTGGCCGTCGTGGATTCTACCGGTTCTCGTCGATCTTCGGTGCTTCTAAAGAGACTACTATTCGAGAAATGTGCGCTTGGCAATGTGGACCTCATGAAGTTTACTGCCGATAAAACCCAAACAAATTCATGTGCCAATTAAGCAGAACCCACGGTACTGCAAGAATTCCCGCAACTAATTCCCCTCCCTCTCTTGGTCTGATTGTAATAGCTCTCTTGGGCTATCAATCATGAGCCGAACTTGTTGGTTGAACTGTACTATGGGAGGCTTAAAGAAAAAAGGGAATATCTTACCGAGCCAGTGTAATTGCTCGGTAGACCGACGGTGCGAATGTTGTTGTTTGGAATTGTGTATATGCAAGCTTATCTTGAAAATGTCGTAAGCGAGATTCTGACATCTGTCAAATATCAATAGTATTATTTTTCCAACTGGAAAGGCAAAGGTGTCATACCATACAGCCTAAACTTTTATACATATTATTATATTTTGTATGAAAAGTTATAATATCAAGTGAAATGAAATGAAGTTGATCAATATGAAACATGGCAAGAAATTAATTAAATTAAATGAGATATAGGATGAAATATAATCTCAGTAAAATGGTGGTCATTTACTAAGGCTTTTTAAATGGACTTTTTGGAGGATCCCGAGTAGTTACGTCCAGCGACTTTGTTTTATTTTCCCACATTTGTGCACTTTCATAGTTAATATGCCACCGGTTATTACGCATTTAAACCTAAAGAAACACTAAATAGACAATAAAAAACAAATCACACAACTTCACTCATCGCGTGTCCACCAAAAAGTCCTGTCAAATATCATGTGTTCTATGATGACTACCGTTACAACACTCTTATAGACTTCATTAACAATGAATAACGTTTCTGTCTCCAGGGTTGTACTGGCGGCGTGCTCTGAGCTGCTGGGGGCGCTGCTGGGCGCTCACGAGGCTCACGGGGAACCTGTCCTGGTCATCGACGGCGCTGAACCGAAGCACCTGAAGGCTCTCCTCGATTATATGTACACCGGCGAAATGAACGTTCATCATGTAAGGTTGAGGCTCTTGCGTTCTGTTGGTAGAACCTCAAGGCACGCCTGGTCTTAAATTGATTATCCAGAGTCCTTGTGGGCGTCAAAACGTAATCAAATTAAATTGACTTTTTTGAAGTGAAACTTGTTTAGGTTGTAAAAAAAAAGAGGTCCCACAACCAGTAATTACACAAATCATAATTTTGCGATTTTAATTTTTATCAATCACACGATGTTATTCCTTCACCGTGGAAGTCAATCGTGAACATTTGTTGAGTACGTAATTCATTAGAAAAATTGGTACCCGCCTGCGGGATTCGAACACCGGTGCATCGCTACATACGAATGCACCGGACGTCTTATCCTTTAGGCCACGACGACTTTAGATACTCCACGAAGTTAGCTAAAGATACATTTGTACTCCTTTCCAGTCGCAGCTCGCGAGCCTCCTGAAGACAGCCGAGGAGCTTCGCATCAAGGGCCTGACGGATTTACGGTGGAATAACAAAGACGAACCGCCAGACTCTGAAACTGGTCAGTGCAAAAAAACTGGTCAGATTTTTACAGCATAATGCTCCTACCTACCTAAGCTCATAGTCTATTTCAGCGTAACCTTAACTAGTAGGTGAGCTCACGGGACTCAAACCTGACGACGTTGCTAACACGAACCCTAGCAAGAGCAGTGCTTCGCAGAATCTACCACCGGATCGAAAACGCGACCCACTGAGAAGATCCGACGAGAAACTCAGTGGGCTGTGTCTGAGGGTTAATTCACTCGTCGAGCCCTTCGTCGAAAGCGACGGGTTTGACGAGAACGATGACCGGGTTTGGACTCATTGATAGAGCAGCCGTTGTACTGTAGAACTAAGACTTAGACCTCGTGTTCTGGAGATTCTTGCGACCAATTAACTTCTACTAAAACATTCGCGTTTCCAAATGTCAATTTTCCTATGTCAAGAAAGTACTGGGAAGACATCCGCAATACACAAAATGTTAGTTGTTCATACATCTCGACGCTTTTGAACGCTTCTTACCATTAATAAATAAGTTTTTTTTCTTTCTTAATAAATTCATTTCATCATGAGCCTTCTGTAGCATTTGTAGTGATTCCGAACAGGAAACTCTTTCCTCAATGTTTTTGTCAAATACAAAATACACACTATGATATAACTAAAACTGCACTGTATTTAATCTAAAATAAAAATAAAACAGATGCAACTCAATGCCGCAAACCGCGCTAAAATGGAAAATAGTTTTGCCAATCTAACAAAAAAAATACCACAAATAAATGAGTTTGGAACCATGAACAAATCAAGCATTCCCGATACTTTTTTGACTGAAATTACTTACACAGCGGCTCTCAATCTTTTTTATTCATCGACAAACTAACATACTTTTCATAAATATACGACGTTCTTCATGATAATTGCATTATCGTTGCCGCCGCTGTCTACTCCCCGAATCCTGATCATGCAGGAGCCAGTCACCGTCGACACGTCCTAGACACGTCCTTACGGATCCATCAGATCCAATAACCTTTGCATTAGACGCGTTCAGCTCTAACACTAAGATTAGGGACCCCAGTGACCGTACTTGTCGAACTAGGCAAAGAGTTCAACATGCAACCTAACCGATACAGCAGCCCGCTGGGTTCCTCGACGGATTTTACCAGCGATTCCAATCCGGTAGCAGATTAATTTGCGAAGCAGCTGCTCTCGAGTTGTTAGGTCTCTTTCAGAAGCCCTCGGACAGCTGTTAGCAAATCCCTTGCCTCCTAGCCGAGCCATTGCTCGCCCACCTGTCCTAGTTGAATTGGCAAGGCCTCTGGGAAACATACATGCAAAGCTTTTAAAAGTCGAAATGAAGGTGTAGGCAAATTCATTAAATCCTACGCCATTTCTCTATTAAACTTTGTTGTGCAGCTAACATACTTGCCTCTGGCGAACATCGTATTTGTAAATGTATTTGAGGTACTCAATCGCCTATTATCGCACCTCACGCCATCGGAGCAGAGTTCATCCATATCACCTGGAACCGCTGCGTTCATTGACAGTGCGTTTTCAGAGGTCTTTTTTGCCACGAACCATCCGGCTATGGAATGAGCTCCCCTCCACGGTGTTTCCTGAGCGCTATGACATGTCCTTCTTTAAAAGAGGCTTGTGGAGAGTATTAAGCGGTAGGCAGCGGCTTGGCTCTGCCTCTGGCATTGCTGAAGTCCATGGGCGACGGTAAACACTCACCATCAGGTGGGCCGTGTGTTCGTCTCCATACAAGGGCAATAAAAAAAGGTTTGAGAACCGCTGAACTAACTAATCACGTTACACCCAATCTTTACGTTACACACAACTAACCACCGAAAAATCACTCTTCTTCTTCGCAGCCAAAATAGATGTTATGTCTTCAGGAGTCGTGGCCACGCCCACTAGCTCGCCCGTCGAGAAACAAACAGACAAACTCACCGAAAAACAAGAGAAGACGCCGTCCCCACTACCGATACTACCGAAACTAGAAACGTCCAAGCAAATTTCCCCAAAGCCCGAGACGCCAAAGTTGAATTCCCCCAAACAGGTCTCCCCGAAAATAAGTTCCCCCAAACAGGTCTCCCCCAAGCAAGTCTCCCCCAAACAAATCTCCCCGAAACTAGGGTCCCCTAGAGGGGGCTCGTCGAGTCAGGAAGCGCCCCGCACCCCGGAGGCCGCAGACCTTCGCTCGTTGAAGACCGAAAGCGAAGTCGGCGACGACAAGGCACTTGATAAATTCAATGTCAATGGTGAGTTATAGTGAGTTTTTTCAGAACCTGACTCAAAGAACGATATATATACATTACTAGCTGACCCGGCAGACTTCGTAGCGCCTCAATCGATAAATAAAAGACTTCTAAGCCTTTGTTTAAAATAAACTTAAAACAAACAAAAGGAATCCATCCGACGGGGGACACATCAAATTGTTATTTTTATTTAATTTCGGAGAATCATATTTATCTTCATATTTATCTACTTTTAAAACGTTCTCTGGACTTCCACAAATAATTTAAGACCAAAATGATCCAAATCGGTCCAGCCGCTCTCGAGTTTTAGCGAGACTAACGAACAGCAATACATTTTTATATATATACATTATAATAGAACAGTCAAAGTCGAGAGCTTTAAATCATCGTGGCCTAAAGGATAAGACGTGTCCGGTGCATTCGTATGAAGCGATGCACCGGTGTTCGAATCCCGCAGGCGGGTATCAATTTTTCTAATGAAATACGTACTCAACAAATGTTCTCGATTGACTTCCACGGTGAAGGAATAACATCGTGTAATAAAAATCAAACCCGCAAAATTATAATTTGCGTAATTACTGGTGGTAGGAGCTCTTGTTCTTCCGCGCGGGTAGGTACCACCGCCCCGCTTATTTCTGCCGTGAAACAGTAATGCTATCGTCTGTCTTCGTTTTCGGAAGCGGTCTCCTAACACCCAGTATTTCATCGCGCCGCAAACACATATGCCCGTATCTTTAGACGTTTCGTAAAATAGTCCTCCACTCTTAACTCATCCGATGATGCTCGAGCATTCCCTCGAAACTTACTCGAGTTTGGTATTTTTAGTCGACCATTACAATATTCCTCAACTGTCCTCGAGTGAGGTAATAATGATGAAAATTTGATCAAGCTAGCATCAAACCCATAGAGTTCTGTAGTCTATGGTCATTGTTTAATGTCAAAGTCAAGCTGCCGCTGTCTGTTTGACACTAGATGAACTTGTTTGATGTTTTGGTTGCTGAGTTAATCGTAAATATGTGTGGATGCGGTAAATCTGAAAGTGTATTATTTATTTTCTAACCTATTATTATTTTAGATTTCGGATCCGGCTTTGTATTTTTATTCGCCGCTTTTGTGTGATTTTGGTTGCATCGTGTTGTTGAAGTGCTTTTCCACAACCACCAGTTTATTATTATATAAATAAAATTTATAATCGCATTGACTTTATTTATCAGGTACTAAGCAAAATATGACTCTTATGTAGGTAAATAAAATAAAGAGTTTCAAATGTCTAACTTCGAACTATTTACTTTATTAATAAATATTATCAAAATTAAATTATCAAAATATGCGGGAATCATGCACAAATCCAGGCCATTGCACAACAATATCATATATTTCCATTTGCGGTCCACATACTATTTGGACATTGATAGAAAACCAGCCTTGAGGAACGTTCAAGGTACGTCGCGACGTACCTTGACTTGACAGTTCGCTCACTTCACTCCGGTTAGGAAATTTTTCCAAGATCGTTTGTGTGGAGTTTATTTTTACGACTAGTCATACCAAAACGCGCGTTGGAGGTTGAGTCGAGTCAAGTTAAGCTCGTGTAAACGACTAAAGATACGGGTGTCAGTCCACATCGCCATGTTATTAAATAGGCAAAGACGAAACAGTTTCCCCTTCTATTTCCTCTACTGACTTAATATTGACGGGCTAGCGTTATTAATATTTGCTATAAGCTAAATTTTTTCCACATTGTTCCCAGGGGGTCCTCCGCCCTTAATAAAACTGACGACTAAAGAAAGAATCAGTCCAATCAAGCGAGAGAACTCTGAAATGTAAGTACAGATCATAATCATTATTGTCGTTTGAGTTTGATAATTGCGCCCCTAACGTCAGAGCGGGGCTCGTCCTCTCCACAGATCGCTGCGTTCAACCCCTGTGCGTATTTAAACGAACGCGCGGGTAGGTACCACGCGGGTAGGTACTTGTCCGCGCGGGTAGGTACCACCCCCCTGCCTATTTCTGTCGTGAAGCAGTAACGCGTTTTGGTTTGAAGGGTGGGGCAGTCGTTGTAACTATACTGAGATCTTAGCTTATATCAATTTTTTTTTTTATTGCCTTTGTAGGCAGACGAGCATACGGCCCACCTGATGGTAAGTGGTCACCGTCGCTCATTGACGTCAGCAATGCCAGGGGCAGAGCCAAGCCGCTGCCTACCATAAAGAACTCTCCGGTAGGTGGCGCATTTACGTTGTAGATGTCCATGGGCTCCAGTAACCACTTAACACCAGGTGGCCTGTGAGCTCGTCCATCCATCTAAGCAATAAATAAAAACCCTTAGGGCTGGGTTTACATGGCATTGTCCTGCACGTTTATTTGCAGTATTAGTCTTAACGAATGAACAGTGGCACGTACATTGTACATAGAACCGTTCACAAGTCGTTTCATCATCATTATCCTGCCCTTCTCCCAGTCACCTGGGGTCGGCGCAACATGTTTTCTCCTTCCATACTCCTCTATCATATACCATTTCTCAGTGAACGAGGAGTGAAGTTGTGTGTTTTGTTTTATTTTGTCTATTTAGTGTTTCTTCGGGTTTAAATGTGTAATAACGGTGGTGTATTAACTATGAATGTGCACAAATTTGGGAAATAAAACAAAGTAGCTGGACGTCACTTCTCGGAATCCTCCAAAAAGTCCACTGAAAAAGTCTTAGTAAATGACCACTATTTTATTGAGATTATCTTTCTTCCCATCTCATTTCATGCTATGTTTCATATTAATCAACTTCATTTCATTTCTTGATATCATTTTTCATATAAAAAAGTTGTCATTAAAATTAAAATCAGACTTGACCTAAAGGTCTTAGTTACCAGGTCATAAAATCCGTTTAAAAAAAAAAGAGAGTGTCAATGACTTGAGTTCGTTCCAGAGACAGTCCGAGCCCCAAGCGACAGAGGCTGGCGAGCGCCACCGAGCACATGGACGAAGACTCCATGTCTGCATCAAGAGGGTAATTTAATATTTTGCTGTATTATTTAGAAGTCGTCGTGGCCTCGAAGATAAGACGCTAGTTTTATTCAGTGTCGAGCGATGCGAACGTGACGACGTTCGAATCCTGCATTCAGTCACACATTATTTTAATAAAACTGGTGGTGGGACGTCTTGTGAGTCCGCGCGGGTAGATACCACCACCCTGCCTATTTCTGTCGTGAAGCAGTAACGCGTTTCGGTTTGAAGGGTGGGGCAGCCGCTGTAACTATACTGAGACCTTAGAACTCATATCTCAAGGTGGGTGGCGCATTTACGTAGTAGATGTCCATGGGCTCCGGTAACCACTTAATACCACCAGGTGGGCCGTGACCTCGTCCACCCGTCTATACAATAAAAATAAGGACCTAGATATATGTTCACGAGTGACTTCCTCAGTGAAGGAATAATATGAATACAAAAATCGTCTGGGTTCATTAGGCCGCGGCGACTGAAGTCGGTAAAGAGCCGTTTGGAATTTGGTTTTGAGGCTTGGGTCAGTCCTTTACGAGACTTGGACCTCATGTCTCGAGGTGGAGGTCGATATTAGTAGTGCCCAAAATGAATGTACCACTTTTTCGTTGTTTTTTTTTTACATTCCATTGCGCTTCAAGACTGCCGTTATATTTTTTAAATTCCATTGCGCTTCAAGACTGCCGTTATATTTTTTAAATTCCATTGCGCTTCAAGACTGCCGTTATATTTTTTAAATTCCATAGCGCTTTAAGACTAAAGTTATATTTTTTAAATTCCATAGCGCTTTAAGACTACAGTAAATTTTTGTAAATTCTATTGCGCTTTAAAACTAAAGTTATCTTTTTTACATTCCTTTGCGCTAAAAGACTGCCGTTATCTTTTTTAAATTTCATTGCGCATCAAGACTAAAGTTATCTTTTTTACATTCCATTGCGCTTCAAGACTGCCGTTATCTTTTTTAAATTCATTGCGCATTAAGACTAAAGTTATCTTTTTTACATTCCATTGCGCTTCAAGACTGCCGTGATCTTTTTTAAATTCATTGCGCATTAAGACTAAAGTTATCTTTTTTACATTCCTTTGCGCTAAAAGACTGCCGTTATCTTTTTTAAATTTCATTGCGCATTAAGACCAAAGTTATCTTTTTTACATTCCATTGCGCTTTAAGACTAAAGTAAATTTTTGTAAATTCTATTGCGCTTTAAAACTAAAGTTATCTTTTTTTACATTCCATTGCGCTTTAACACTGACGTAATCTTAAATTCATTTGCGCTTTAGGACTGACTTTAACTTTCCTTTTTTTTTCAGAGACAAAGACGAATGGCAACACGGGAATCTAGTGAGTCGATGAACCATTTTAAATCTTTTCTTCGTTTCGAGTTATAGAAAACTACCCGCGTATGTTCTCTTTAAAGTTTAATTCGACGTGTTTTTTTTTTAAATGCTTCCTATCAATAGGCGAACGAATACTAATCAAATTATTGACATATGAGGTATAATTTCGGATGTATATAATTACTATCTCATGTCCCGCCGTAGGGCCATAGTTCAAACATAACGCGTTTTCAAACACACTTTTGCCACCTACCGTCCGGTTCTGGAATGAACTCATGTCTTCCTTCAAACGAGGCTTGCAAACGTTACTCAATGGTAGGTATTGTTGACGTCCGTGGACGACGGTAACCACAAAAGCCATAAAACATATATAGAGGGGTAAAATTCTATTTGGCTTAAGAGACATTATTGCAACTTTACGAGAGAGCCATTTAAAGTTTAAAATTTGGAAAAAATATCGTAATAAAAAGATTTGTTCAGCTATTTGAATGTGGCAAGCTTAATTGAAGTTCAGTTAAAAACATTGAACTGTTGATGCTGATACCAAATAAAACGGACCTTTCATTACAAATATATGTAAATGTCGCGTATTGAGCGAAATGTCATAAGCATATCAATTGAAAATTTAATTGTAGGGGCATGATACCCCGCCCCGCTTAGCTTACTATGCATTTATAGTAATGATAATAAACATGTAATTATACTTAGTGTTTTATTGACCGCTCCGATGAGGTTTCCGGAGGAGAGCGCACAATAAACCCTCCACATTACTAAACCTCACACTGGTGATCCCGACGTGATAAACCTCACATAATTAAACAAATAAAAGTATGGAAGCCCTTTATGCTATAAACCATTAATCGGTTTGTATCGGTTGGTCGTAGTATCTACATCGGGCGACAGGGGGCGCGCGGGTAGCTTCAACATATCTGTGTTTGTTTGTTTTTGTTCCTACCTAAGCTGATAGTCTTGAGAGGTTATTTCAGCGGAACCTTAACTAGTAGGTGAGCTCACGTGGTTCAAACCTGACGACGTTGCTAACACGAATCCTAGCAAGAGCCGTGCTTCGCAGAATCTACCACCACCAATCTACCAATTTAAAAAGAAATTATAATTTGCGTAATTACTGGTGGTAGGACCTCTTGTGAGTCCGCGCGGGTAGGTACCACCGCCCTGCCTATTTCTGCCGTGAAGCAGTAATGCGTTTCGGTTTGAAGGGTGGGACAGCCGAACTATACTGAGACCTTAGAACTTATATCTTAAGGTGTGTTTCGCATTTACGATGTAGATGTCTATGGGTTCCAGTAACCACTTAACACCAGGTGGGCTGCGAGCTCGTCCACCCATTTAAGCAATAAAAAAAAATGTGCTCGTTACCAGAACATAACAGCAGAACGCGTCGTCGGCTGGGGAGGGGGCTCGGAGGAGTCCTCCCGGGAGCCCTCCGAGGAGGACTGGGCCGACGCGCCGGCCGACATCGGCTCCTTCCTGCACACCCGGCTGCGTGTGGACGGAGACAACAGCGCCGGTCAGTACCGAGCCCACGTGACGCTCTATACATCTACACGTCCGACGCAGCTCCCACAGAGTCCACGAATACTTTAGGCACAAACGTTCACGATTGACTTCCACGGTGAAGGAATAACGTCGTGTAATAAAAATCGAACACGCAAAATTATAATTTGCGTAATCACTGGTGGTAGGACGTCTTGTGAGTCCGCGCGGGTGGGTACCACCACCCCGCCTATTTCTGCCGTAAAGGTTTGAGGGGTGGGGCAGCCGTTGTAACTATACAATTCTTAGAACTCATATCTCAAGGTGGGTGGCATTTACGTTGTAGATGTCTATGGGCTCCAGTAACCACTTAACACCAGGTGGGCTGTGAGCTCTTCCACCCATCGAAGTAATAGAAAAAAAGGCATGCGATGTCTTGTAACGGCTGTCTCTTCAAAATCTTACTCGTGGTCCACACGGGTAGGTACCACCGCCCTGCCTATTTCTGCCGTGAAGCAGTAATGCGTTTCGGTTTGAAGGGTGGGGCAGCCGTTGTATACTAAGACCTTAGAACTCATGTCTGGTGGATGGCATTTACGTTGTAGATGGCTCCAGTAACCACTTAACACCAGTTGAGCTGTGAGCTCGTCCATCCATCCATGCAATAAAAAACAAATCTTAACTGGCTTGTACCTACCCGTGCGAGCTCACAGTAATCCCAGCAAATACACAAGCTATCTTTTTGTCAATTTTTTTGCTCGATCACAGTACATATCGTTTAGGCCACGTATATTTTACCTGTGTATTTATTTGGTATGCCTATTGTCTCCGGTAGATGAGGAGACCAACGACAGCACGGCGGGCCCCCCCAGCCGGTCCACGGTCGCGTCATCGTCGTCCTCCGCCAAGGAGATCAGAATGGATTTCTCCACTCAGCTGTCACTACCGAAACGTAAGTGTTTCAACTAGAAACCGTCACGTAACGAAAAATCGTTACGTGGATGTGACTATCCGATGACAAATTTGAGTTTTGTAATTTTTGAAGTGAAAACTTCTTTAGAATCGTTGTGATTTCAAACCGGATGCAACGGAAAAAACGACAGGTAAGAGACACAAATACAAAAATGTGTAGGATGAAGCCAGCAAAGAATGAGACAGAAACATACATACTATTTAATACGGCGCCATCTGTGAGATTTTTTAATACTAACGTGTGTATGAAAGCTCTTGTAGTGAATTTTAATTTAGGATTATACGTGAAATTAAAATATCAATTCACAGAGGGCCCTACCTTACAATTATTTACTAATGACAAAATTTTACATATACTTAAGACGTTTAGGATAATTGTATTTTAATTTTGGAAGGTTTCACTTCTACCACGTGTGAATTGCACACATGTAATTTTTTAATAGATCCTTGCTTTTCCCAGTAACGTTAAATGTGACTTTTTAAGGATACCAATTGAATTTTAATGGCCTTTATGATTTGACGGGGGAATCCCCGGACGGCTCTGCACGTAGTGGTGTTTGTATGAATTCAGAGTTGTTGTTGTTTTGTGGACTCCTCTGACTATACAGATCATTGAAAGACGTTATGTGACGAAGACCATATACGTAAATAGATTTGCGAATAGTTTTTTGTTTTGTTTTTATTTTTTCCCGCGAAAATTAAATTGAACCAAATCAAAAGTGTTATACACCAAACGAATCCAAACCTTGAGGTTTCTGTGATTAAAGTCGAAAGTTCGTTAAACGCATATAGGATGGAATTAAGGAGCACTTTATGACACTGTTTTTATCCTTCCACTTGCTACTGCGGCGATACCTTAATTGTCTCCTTTTCAGCGAACACTTTAATATACTGAGATGGTTTTATTTTTATTGCCCTAGTAGGCAGACGAGCGTACGGCCCACCTGATGGTGAGTGGTTACCGTCGCCCATGGACATCAGCAATACCAGGGCAGAGCCAAGCCGCTGCCTACCTTTATATTTACCACCGCTATCCTCGACAGGTCCCAAATCAGACCCCACAGACCCTCGCTTCACTGACGTTGTCAAGCTGAGCGACTACCTGCAGCACGGGAGACGGCCTCAGTTCTGGGAGGAGCCCTACGTTAGGAGGGTGAGTGTTGATTACGTTCGACCGGTGTGATACTATCGCGCGTGACGTCATATGAGGCTAAACGATCTTTTTTTTTATTGCTTAGATGGGTGGACGAGTTCACAGCCCACCTGGTGTTAAGTGGTTACTGAAGCCCATAGACATCTACAGTGTAAATGCGCCACCCACCTTGAGATATAAGTTCTAAGGTCTCAGTATAGTTACAACGGCTACCCCACCCTACAAACTGAAACGCATTACTGCTTCACGGCAGAAATAGGTACGTTGATGAGTGGCAGCGAAACGCAATGCTTAACCACATGTGACGTCATGTGTTGTGTTTTAATAGATTCAAAGTTTCAAAGATTCTGATCATCAGATTCTGGTCATCTTTCAAAGATTCGTTGGGTCTTCGTGTCCCCTTACGGAGGCACGGATCGGGCCTCGAGGCAATCCCCTCTGCCCGGGCTTGAACTCCCTGCCTAACGAGGCAGGGGTGATGTTTATTGCCTGTTGGTAGTTAGTTAAAAGGTGATGAGTTGGTATGAGTAGGTGATGATATTCGTATCGGCATCGATATTCGGCATCCTCGTATAATCTTCAAAGATTCTGTCACATAAATATATAGATACAGGATTGGCTATTTGTATAAAAAAATATTGGTTGTCTGTAAAGTTGGTATACAGATAAATTAAAGATGACGTCACGCGAGACGAGAGATAAATGTGTCACAAGCCAACGCTTGGGCCGATCGTGCCTCTCTGTCGTTTGTTCCGCGCTCTCGCTTGCACGCTCTGGCTCAGGCGGAACGTGACACTTTCGTGCGTGCAGCCGATGCTCATCTATACTAATATATAAATCTACAGTGGTTTTTACGGATGTTCCGTTATAACTACTGAATCGTGCATCCGATTGACTTGAAACTTGGTATCCATGTAGAAAATACATGTACTTAATGGATAGGCTATTATATTTATATGAGTGTTGGACTCCCTACACCAGTTGCGGGGCGTTAATGATGAGAATCTTTGTGGGGGTGAGAAATAATAATGTTCATTTTAAATGCCCAGCGAAGCAGACGGGTACAGCTAGTCGATTTATAAGACCCTATCACGTCAAAAACATAAGTCTAAGATTAATAGTTAAAATATTGGGTATATTTTATGACGCGGCTGTTACTTGTGCGCCCGAAGTGAGACTCCTCGGATGTTCTGCGGCTCGTTATAACCTCAAAAACCTTTTTTTGTATATTGGTCTTCTTACGCCCGATCTTCAGGTGATGGAGTCGGTGAGGCTAAAGGAACTGGAAATGAAACAGGCCGCCGAGATCCTGGGCGTGAGCTACGGCACGCTGTACGGGAGGTATCGGGACGTGTACGGGTGTATCAACAGGCCTTACAGGTGAGGGGACTATCAGGTCATCCATTAGCTACAGCATTAGGGTCCGTTCACACAGACCGACTCGTATATGTCGGCGTTACACCAGGGTATTCACATATAAATAAATAAATAAATAAATAAATATTTACTAACAATCACGCCACGTTAACTGGTCCCGTGATAAGTTCGTAAAGAACTTGTGTTACAGGTACCAGATAACGGAAATAAATTAATATTTTTTATTATACTCATACATATATTTAATATACATCCATAACCCTGGAAAAGACATTTTTATATTTATCATACAAATATCCTCCCTTGACGGGATTCGAACCCGCGACCCCCTTGTGTAGTGACCATGTCACTTATCACTACACCAGACGGCCGTAAGATCTATTATAATGAAAATTCAATAAAATTCTAGAATATTATTATGTTTGATTGTTAAGTGGTTACTAGAGCCCATAATAGACATCTACCACGTAAATGCCGTCACCCACCTTGAGATATAAGTTCTAAGGTCTCAGTATAGTTACAACGGCTGCCTCACACTTCAAACCGAAACGCATTACTGCTTCACGGCAGAAATAGGCGGGCGGTAGTATCTACCCGTGCGGACTCACAAGAGGTCCTACCACCAGTAATACGTACAGCTATACAAGCAAAAAAAACACCTTCGGATGTCTGGCCTCGGCCTCGGCAGGGCTGTCCGCGACTTCTGGCAGGCGAAGGGTCCGTCGGAGGTGCTGGAGCGGCTGCAGCGCGGCGACATGACGCTGGACGCGGCGGCGCACGCGCTCGGCGTCACCATCAACACGCTCGCGGCGCACGTCGCCGACTTCGGGCACGCCGCCGCCGCCGGTGAGCACCCCCCAACCACCCTGACACACCCCCGACCTTATATATGAAAATTTAAATGTCCGGAACCATATTAATCTCAATACGCTCAATGGGATTCAGATTAAGGTCGCAACGCCGGGCCACCATAGGGCCCTCTGCTTACCTCCGACTCAATTTTTTTAAATCCTTTTAATTTGCACATTTGGTTCTTTGGCTAATAAGTTTGCCGACCACTGGTCTAAAGAGACAATATCAGCGTCACCAGGCTAGGGTGTGTTGTGCTACAATAGTGACTCGTATTTATAGTAGAAAGTGGCGGTCGCTTACGAGTCAGTCCTGAATTCTTATGAATACCGTCTTAAACAATTGTTTACACGCGTTGGACTTACAATAGTTAACCAACTATGTCGATATTAAGGAGACAGTTAACTTTAACCGATCCCTTAGTCAACTAAATAGTGATGTTGCGCCGACATATAAATGAAGATTATATTAGTTTGATGTTCGTATTTGTTTGGGCACTGTAATTCTTTAAATTATCGCCATGTATTTATTTATTAACTTCATCACAGCTACGCACTTCTTGAATCATTCACTTCATCAACGAGGGTTAACTGGAGGAGAATGCCTGCATGGCGTTAAGTTCGCCTTTGTACAATATTTTGTGTGATAAAGAATGTTCATTCATTCGGTCATTCATTCATTCATTCACTCATTCGTTTTTTCAGATTTCGAGCCGATCCCCATCGAGGTGGACCCATCGTTGAAGAGTCGGATGCGCACGTACAGCGGACAGCAACAGCCACCCGGCAAGCAGCCCCCGAGGAAACCGTTCCCTTCCAGCGCCAACGACAAGGTAAGAGTAACGCCATCTATCGCCGAATAGCCGAAACGAATGTCGAAGGATCAAGTAGCACCTAGAACGCTTGAGGAGTACAACGCCATCTATTGTCAGATAACAGAAACGCAATACTCGAAATGTGTGGAATGTTCTCGATAATTCTAGGGATGTCGTGTCGACTATAAAAGCGTTGCAGAGATGGCACGCAGTTAGTAATCGGAAATACTCGAAGCGAAACAGCGAAGCGGAAGAAATGAATTGAGAATTTTAAAGTGTTCTGTGAGTGTTTTAGGTGTTGAATACACTTTTAAGTTGTACTTTGGTGTAGCTTTTATTTATCTCGAGCCCCAGCGCGTAACAGACACATAAGCAACTTGAATATATGAGGTACAGTGGATTGGGGGGAATAGAGACTAGAGTTAGAATAGGGACAAATCTGGAAAGACACAATACTTTTCTTGAGTTGTTAGATTTAACTTTGTTGAACTGAAAATGACTTTTATTTAGTGTTTAAGAATATTAAATAGTTTAATTTAGTCATCAGAGTTTTGTAACTCATTAAAAATATTAAAAATTTAATTACCTACAGTAAGGTACCTACCTACTAATTAAATAGTGCCAGCCCTATCGAAAAACTCTATTGCTTAGTTTTTGTTTTTAAGGGATTTTATGACCTGGTAACTAAGACCTTTAGGTCATGTCTTATTTTAATTTATATTCTTATTTTTTTATGAAAGATGATAATATGGAGTGAAATGAAATGAAGATGATTAATTTGAGACATTAATCAACTGAGATGAAATTAAATGAAAGGAGACGAGATGATATCGGACGAAATATAATCTTAGTAAAATGGTGGTCATATACTGAGACTTTTATTTATTTATTTATTCATGTACACACAAAAAAGAAGACATAGTACAAAGTAATAGGAAAATTATGTACAAAGGCACTGCTTATTTCTTTAAGAAATCTCTTCCAGCAGACCTGTGAGAGGATTATGAGAATAATAATTAAAAGTGATGAGTGTGTGTAGAACAGCTAAAATAACAAATACAACATGAGAATTATAGTAATGCACATACAGCAATATTTTTTTTCTTGACTTTTTCAGTGGACTTTTTGGAGGATTCAGAGAAATAACGTCCAGCGACTTTGTTTGACTTTCCCACATTTGTGCACTCTCACAGATACGAAACAGTTAATAAAACACCGTTATATTACACATTTAAACCTGAAGAAACACTATAGTCGGATTTTTTATTAGACGAAGTCAACTGACGTTTACTGTGTTGTCAGTTTTTGATGAAATAAAAATAGTGTTGTGACAAAGTGAATGATTAAAAAAACTCCTGAATTAATGAAATTGCCTCGATTGTCTAGTGAATACTTGGTGTGCCGAACTGCCGATATCAGGTACGGGGTTCGAATTTTAGTCGTTCTTTGTACATACCAACGAGTTTTCGACGATTATGTTCCTATAGTATCTACCTGTACTGAATACCGAGTGTTTTAAACATTAAGGAAAACATTGCGAGGAAACTTGTAAGACTGTCCTATTTTTACATCATATAGTTGAAACTATATGATGTATAAAATATAACAATTATAGGTAGGTAATGAAAATTAAAAAAACTGATTGTAGTTACATACTACTAGTAACATATATTAGAGCACTTTAATACAATTTTATTGTAAAATATAAATAATATTCTTTTATAGTTTGAAATAATTACATAACTCTTCACACTCATTGTTCATTCATGTGATTGAACGAGAACTGAACGCAGCACTATTAGTTTAAATATAGCAACATTATTTTACAAAGTGACATTAGCTACTGTCAGCTGGCTTCGTCTAATTAAAAATACGACTTTAAATAGACAAAATAAAACAAATCACACAACTTCACTCCTCGCGTTCCCATACAAAAAGTCTCCAATTAAAATGGTATATCTCATGTACAGGGTGTGTTTGAATCGGAACGTCAAAAGTGTCAACAAGAGACTTCCGCTATGACACTTTTCCCTTTTAAATTCCAGCCGTCAAGGACGACACATCGATTTCATTTCATATATCTTTAATTTGTCACCTATGGACTAATAAAGATATCCAACTAATAAATACAGTCCACTCTCATCCACCACAAGGCAACAGCGTGCTCGAAAAAAAAAATTAACAAAAATTCAATTCTATTTGCAGCCCCTGGTGAAAAAGCTGATGGTCGGGAGCGGCAGCGACGAGGAGTTGCAGATACCGGCGACGGTCATCAGCTCCTGCGACAGTAAGCTGATCTCCAGCAATCCTCCGTCGTGTGAGTTATGATTAATCGATTAATGGATTTATACTGGTGGTAGAACCTCTTGTGAGTCCGCACGGGTAGGTACCACCACCCTGCCTATTTCTGCCGTGAAGCAGTTATGCGTTTCCGTTTGAAGGGTGGGGCAGCCGATGTAACTATACTGAGACCTTAGAATTTATATCTCAAGTGGGTGGCGCATTTACGTCGTAGATGTCTATGTGCTCTAGTAACCACCTAACACCAAGTGGGCTGTGAGCTCGTCCATCCATCTAAGCAATAAAAAAAATGTAGCGAGGGCAAGCCACCGCCTATGTCCAGCAGTAGACGTCTGTGGGCTGACAGATCAATGTTAGGAATCACTGGTTGTGATTCCTACCCTGTATTGATGTAGTGTCATCTGGTGTTAAGTGAATGTCGCGTCACACTTTGAGGTATGAGTTCGAAGTTTGAATTTTACTAGTAACGTCTCTCCCACCTTTCAAAGTGGAATGCTGATCTGCGTTGAGGTAAAAATAGGTACCTACCTGGTGTCTAATACTTAATAAATGGACAGTAATTGTTTAGGGGAGAGCTCCTTGATTAGCTTGATTTGTCTATTGCCTATTTATTTTCATAGCAACAACATGGATTTAGTATTTAACCTGTCAATACTATCAGTTGACGTCACAAAATGGAGCGATTACGTAATGTTCTCTTTTTTTTTATTGCTTAGATTGGTGGACGAGCTCACGGCCCATCTGGTGTTAAGTGGTTACTGGAGCCCATCGACATCTACAACGTAAATACCGTCACCCACTTTGAGATATAAGTCCTAAAGTCTCAGTTTAGTTACAACGGCTGCCCCGCTTTTCAAACCGAAACGCATTACTGCTTCACGACAGAAATAGGCGGGGCGGTGGAACCTACCCGCGCGGACTCACATGAGGTCCTACCACCAGTAATTAACGGAAATTATAATTTTGCACGATGTTATTCCTTCATCGTGGAAGTCAATCGTGAACATTTGTTGAGTACGTATTTCATTAAATTAAAAAATTGGTACCCGCCTGCGGGATTCGAACATCGGTGCATCGCTACATACGAATGCACCGGACGTCTTATCCTTTAGGCCACGACGATTTCAAACCCTTAACTAGCAGTATTGTCCTCAGGCGGGAAGTGGCCGACGATCCGCGTCGCCTCAATCGACAGTCTCCGCGCCACGGAGCCCGTCATCTCCCCTGTGCCGGCCCCCCCACCCCCAGTCGCCGCGCTCCCGCCCGCCCCCACCCTGTCGCCCGCCTCGCCCTCGCAGCTCATGAGGACCAGGCCCGACCTCACGATAGTCGCGGCCAGGAGGCCGGACCCCAAGCGAGACGAAGACGACACGTGATCCGGTGAAAACTAATTATAATATAACGTTTAACCAAAGTATTATGTAATCCCCCCTACTGTGCCCCGCGCGAGTTTTTATTTTCATTCGAGGAGGNCCGCCCCCTCCCTGTCGCCCGCCTCGCCCTCGCAGCTCATGAGGACCAGGCCCGACCTCACGATAGTCGCGGCCAGGAGGCCGGACCCCAAGCGAGACGAAGACGACACGTGATCCGGTGAAAACTAATTATAATATAACGTTTAACCAAAGTATTATGTAATCCCCCCTACTGTGCCCCGCGCGAGTTTTTATTTTCATTCGAGGAGGACATTCCGTCTCGCTCACACGCGTGTTCAGTGAGGGCGTGTGAGCGAGACGCGTATAAGTAATCGAAAGCAAATGAATTTGTCGAACGCGTATGAATTTAGTTCTTTAATATCAGATCTGATTAGGGATAGCTCTTAATGAGAGAGGCATAAGAACTAGTTTCCTATAAGTTATTTTTTATTGTTAAGTTTAGCTGCGTCGTTATCTCGAGAAAGCGGACGAGAAATACGAGAATATTATTTTGTAGTTTTAATATTGAAGATGGCCGTGACGTTCGCGACCACAGACATCAGAAGCAACAGACACGGACAAAAATAAAAATTCAAACAAAATTTATTTGGGGTATGAAATTTATCCATCTTCTGAGTTCATCTCTCAAGAGGCCCGATGGCGCCGTGTCATTGCTTCTTCATTATAGTTACAATAATTGTAAAAAATTCATGACCACGCAATAATTAGAAGTGGACAAACTTTTTATCGTTGAGATTAAATTATGGAATTTATTTATTTTCTACAAATTTAAAATTTATTCGTGGGTAGTTTGTTTTTTACGTATCTTTCCTGGTATAGGCACCTTATATTCTTTCCTAGGGTTCATATTTTGTAAGAAAGAAATTTCATAAAAATCAATTCAGTTATATGATAAATCATAATATGACGATGATTTTTTGAGACTTTAATCAATTGGAATGAAGTTAAATCAAACGAGATGAAATCAAATAAAATCTCAGTTAAATGATGGCTATTTTCTGAGACTTTTTCAGTGGCCTTTTTGGAAGCACCCTAGTACCCACGTCCGATGGCTTCGTTTCACATTTGTGCACTCACACAGATACTATAAATAAGCCAATGTTATTATACATTTGAACCTACAGAAACACTAAATTAACAAAATATAATAAATAAAACGAACTACCCTCCTCGCGTTCCCGCCAATAAGCCCGCCTTGCGGGGTCATTGCCCCCGCGTCCCACGTCCCGCGTCCCAACCCCCCCCCCCCACGCCACGGGCTCGTATAGAAAAACAAACTCCTATAAGTATTACTTAGTTAATTACTAAAGCCAATATCGATTTTTAGGGAATATGTTATTTTTTATTCCAACCTAATATGAAGAATATTAATAGCGTAAGCGTATTATTATTTTATTTTTGTTTATTAATATTTTTTTTGTAGCCATTAAAACTATGAGCCTGAGAGTTTTAGACTGTATTATCGAGAATTTCAAATAATATAATCGTTGTTTTTTTATGGTATTTTTTTTCTTCATAAGTTCGCAACACTGATAGTTTTAAGCAAAAAGGCGATAACGCTGGTTATTTTTTTTGTTTTTTAATTTCTTAAAATTGTTATAGTCGATTTTTCGTTTACCATTGAACGATTCCTTCGTATTTTAATTAAACAAATTAAAAATATATAGTTTTTATTAAAATAATTATATTTTAAGGAACTTGTTCGATTTGTTAAGGTATAGTTTATAATTGCACTAAATTTGTTTTAGTGGATTTACTCAATATAATATCTCGATATAACAGCTGTGTATCTAGCTAAATATAATTATGTCTAGTTAATATATTTATTACGCTGGTATATCGTGGGGTGACAGGATATTTGGTTAAAGCGACGTTTTATTTTACTGGTGGTAGGACGTCTTGTGAGTCCGCGCGGGTAGGTAGATACCACCGCCCTGCCTATTTCTGCCGTGAAGCAGTAATGCGTTTCGGTTTGAAGGGTGGGGCAGCCGTTGTAACTATACTTGAGACCTTAGAACTTATATCTCAGGGTGGGTGGCGCATTTACGTTGTAGATGTATATGGGCTGCAGTAACCACTTAACACCAGGTGGGCTGTGAGCTCGTCCACCCATCTAAGGAATTAAAAAAAAATGGCTAAGTACGCGACATTTATCTTTGTAATTAAAGGTGCGTTTTATTTGGTATCAGCATCAACAGTTCGATGTTCTTAATTGAACTTCAATTAAGTTTATTCCATTCAAATAATTGAAGTTTTTTGTTATGATATTATTTCCAAATTTTTTAAATTTAAATGTCTCTCTTGTAAAGTTGTAAAAATGTCGCTTTAACCAAATCGTCTTTCACTTTTCGATATGTTATAATAAAATTTAATTCGTAGTTTGTAAGTAAAGATAACGCGGAGTCATTTATTAAGAAAAAATAATGATTTATTGAATGTAATCTGTGTTCGCTAATTTAATTAATAATATTTAGGCACTTGATATTTTGTTTTTTTTTTAAACAAAATTTAGCTCTTGTTTATGAGATCAAACGACCGTTACTCGACCACGGTCTGATAAGCAAGAAGCCCTTGATTAATCATTAAGAAAATCATTTTTTACGATTTCATCTTTCGCGTGTGCAAATAATTGACTTATGTCGAGATGTGAAAAGCCTATTTGGTTTAAGCTACTGTTTTGCAACTTTACAACAGACCCAAAGTTTAATATTTGGAAATAATATACGAGTATTCATCTATACATATAAATAAAATTGGAGTGTCTGTTTGTGATATTGAAATAACCGTTTTTTACTACATGCATATGAATATATATACGGTACATACACCAAAATAACATTTTTTACAATTTTTTTCTGTCTGTCTGTCTGTTTGTTCCGGCTGATCTCTGGAACGGCTGGACCGATTTTGACGAGACTTTCACTGATAGGTAGCTGATGATATAAGGAGTAACTTAGGCTACTTTTTTTAGACTAGCTTCGCCCCGCGGCGTCACCTGCGGTACAACAATAAACGCAGGTAACATCGCGGGACTCAGCTATCAATAATAAAATTTAATGTTCCCGAAGAGAAGTGTGGGCGGGTCGGTAGTAGTAAATAAAATGAACCTTTAATTACAAAGATAAATGTCGGTTAAACCAAGTAGCTTCTCACCCCTCGATATCGTATCAGACGTGAACATGAAAAACTGTAAATAATTTAAAACATCTAAAACAATGCAATTAAAATAAAAAAAATGAGATGAGATTTAATCATAAAAATAGTTTATAAAGAAAAAAATACGCCAAAATCGAAGAAAACGCTATAATCAAATTTACAAATATCGGCGTCATGGAAATTTATTTGTTTATGGTCGCGCTTAGGAAAATTCAAATTACCCGCATATCGTCTGATTGCAGCGTGTACATTGCGTGTCCGTTATAAACGATTTCCATTGACGACTCTCTTCTATAAGAACTAAAGTATTTATTTAAAAAAAAAAAACTAAGCAATAAATAGTATTGTTAACTAGGAAATTGAAGCCATCGATCGACAGAACATTAATTTATTTTTGTTGATATTTAAAATTAAGCGTAGATAGAGGATGTATTTGAGGAGGAAAACGCATGTAGGTATACTTAATAGATACGGTAATGTTCATTCGAGTTTAATGTTCCTCTAACGATGGTATCTGAATGGGGTGGCTTATGTGGTGGGAAGTGGTGGAAATGCGTTCTATGTTTACCGTAAATTGTACCCTTCCGGATTTATAGTTTTAATTTGTATAGTGGAATTGTGGTTCATTATCCTGGAATTTCTGAAGACATCCTAATATGACGCAATTCAAACCTAAATGTATCCAGGCTAGAGGTAATTGTCTTATACTGGGGATAAGTTGGATAAGGCTTATGTTCCGATATACACTGCGCGCACTGATCAGTGCTCTAAAGGTACCCATGCACTATGCGGCTGCCGGTCGACCGCTCCGGTTGATTGACGGCCAGCCGTGCGGTTGCCCTACACACAACACGGATAGTGCTAGTTTGTGGTTGCCCGCCACTGACGGTAAACGTGTTTATCGACGTTAAAGCATTAACTACGGATTTCGATGCGGAAAAAAATATAATTGAAATTCAAAATAGGCCAGCGATCTGGACCACAAAATCCGCAAAATATTCTGATAAAAATTTAAGTTCAAAAGCTTTTTGAGCTCTTCAACAAACGATTCAAAATGCTTACTCTCATCTCGAGCTTGGAAATAAGGATGCACCCGGTATCTTTTTTCTGTTTTATTTTTATTATGTAACGCGAGTAAATATAATAAATAGCTGCTACTTCTTCGTCGTCCGTCTTGGAAATGAGTCGACACAACCGCAAATGACACCGGTATCTAACCGCACATTCCGGTTCGGATTGCCGCTATCCGCTACCCGACTGCCCAAAAGCGCAACCGCGTCCTGCGGTTACCCGCACTGCTGGTCGCATTCCGGCTAACCGCATATTGCGTAGGTGCCCTCAAGCTGGGTTCACACGGCATTGTCCTGCAAGTTTTCTTTGTATTCTTTATTTTAACGTACAATCACCCTGGTGTTCATACGGTACATTTTCATTCGTGTAAAAACGAATCGCTGCAGTCTTCACACAGTTGTCACACACGCTCTGTGTTAATGAGACAGAACTGTACCTTTTTTTTGTTTCCTACCCATGCTGATAGCCTTGAGAGGCTACTTCAGCTTCGCCCTAACATGTAGGTGAGCTCACAGGGCTCAAACTGGAGTGTTGCTAACACTAGCCCTAGCAAGAGCAGTGTTTCGCAGAATCTACCACCGGATCGAAAACGCAACCCACTGAGAAGATCCGGCGAGAAACTCAGTGGGCTGTGTCTGTGGGTTAATTTTTGGCAGTATACTGTATTGCGTTTAGTTTTAAACGCTAACAAGTAGGTATAATTAACTATTTAAAACACCTTCGCAGTATACTTAACTGACGTCACACATTACAGCCCTCGCAGTGAATATAGGAACATAGCTTAAGCGTCCACTTGCGAGCA